CCCCCCCCCCCCCCCCCAAATTTATTTTTTTTCAGTTGTAAAATTTGTCTATTGCTACAACAATGACACTGCTTTCATCAATTTGGCAAGTTACAAGTAGTTATGAAGATTGTATGATAGACTAGCTGGCCCTGGCCAACTGGTAAGCTTCTTTGTGGACTATCCACACAAATGGTTAGACATGACCAAGAAGCCTTCACTTGTATGGATAAAAAGAAGGGAAATTTACTTTCAGATAGTGATATTGAACGTTCAGACACTTGCAAAGGGATTAAACTTCTATATGCATTCTTTGACTAACATATGTATGTCGTGTCCATATTTATTCTATAAAATTACATCAAACTGCTTTGATCATGTGTGTTGGATGTAACTATTATTTCTATTCAAGTGAACATTGCAAGTTTGAATGTGGTACTTGTAAACAGAAACCTTACCTTGAAAAGCTCTTGACATCTTAACAGGAGATGGTGATTCTTCTGCATAGAACATAGCATCAAGAACAGACACAGGACTTGGTTTTTCTGAGGTAGCTGTTGCAAGTTCAGCCATTAACCTGTCTTCACTCCACCTAGCTGCAAATTTCTGGACAGTAAAGGATTAAATCTGTTAGCCAGTTATAATTGTAGAATGGAACCCATCAATACAATAACACTTACTCTATCGTTAGTATCACTTAGGTGGAATGTGCCATTGATCTCATTGGAACGGTCTCTGCTTGTGACCTCGGTGTCAATCTGTGAGGCCAAGCTAGCATTGCCTTCTGAATGCACAGAAATTGTATCACCTTGGTGACTCAAGTTTCCCGTTTCACCGCTCATCTCGCTCGATTGGGCATCACCTTGCTGTAAAATTGAAGATTTCAATTTGGGTTTTCTTCTTGGGGAAGCTGATTCTTGTGGTTGTGTATTGTACTGCCTTCTTGACTTGCTCAAATCAGACGATGGGGTGGTGGGACGAGACTCCTTTTCTATCCCGTGCTTTTTCTGTTGCAGTCTTGGGCTCGCGGTTCCAGAGCTCCTTCCAGTGCTGGAGAAACATTCTCCAACCTTGTGTTCAGGTGCCTTTGCAGTTTGGTTGGACCTTTTGGTTCTGGCATTGGTCTTTATATCCATGGAAAGAAGGGGCTGACTAGAAGGGTGCCTGAGGTTATTGTTTCTTGGAGTGCGCTCTTTAGTTGTTTGCTTGTCATGAAAATCCATTTTGTTATTTGCAGAATTTGCAGTCCGGAGTTTTTGCAGGCCTGATAAACCATCAATCAGGATCTGAGAGGAACCTGTAATTTTAGTTGGTTTCATGACCATAATTCGAGACTCGAATCTTGTTGTGAGATTGGTTGCCTTGTTGACGGGAGAAACTGGGTGACTTCTATGCTGGCTTTGTGGCATCACTAGTTTAGAACCTTGATCAAGGCTGCTGTAATTTTGGCCGACTTTGCTTGTTTGAGACTCAGAGTCTGAAGTTTGCTCTTCCTTTCTGTTCTCTAGCCTCTGTCTTGTCTTCTGCATTGCCTCGAGTATCTGTTTAAGAGCTCTCAGATCTTTTCCAGATTTTTTGAACTCAAGTTCAGTCAACCTTTTCTCCATTTCACCATAAACTGAAGAGGAAGCATGTGAAGAATTTATTGGAGCTTCCCTATACTTGAAAGCTAGTTTCTGAGAGCCTTGACCACCTTCAGGCTGCTTCCATGGAGCAAGTTCTAGTGGAACCCTAGTGTTTGAAGTTGGTTTCATGACTGAGTTGGCATTTCTTAATCCAGGCGAGGCAGGGTCCCTGTGTGAAACCTTTGGCGATCCAGAAACCTGGTCTCGCTTGCTTTCATGAGCTATTCTGGATGATCTTGAAATTGTGCTGCAATCTTCATCAGGACAGGCTTTAATCTTCATCATCTGACCCTGCTTACCGGTAATGGAATCTGGGAAGGGTTCCAAACCCATCAACTTTGCTACGACGCCAGAAGTTCTTTTGTTATTTCCTGGCTCTTGATGTAGGTTTCGGAATTGGTCAGAGTTCACGTTTTCCCTTTGTAGATCACTTAGAAGATAATTTGATCTCGACTCAGAGGCAGAACTCCTTATGGAACCAGCTCTGCTGTCCAATGATAGCCTTGGGAGCTCCTTCAGCTTTAAGGTAGACTTAATTTTTTCTCTCGATTCTCTACCATCATAAGAGAACCGAGGAGCATCTTTTAATGCCAATGGCCGAAAACCATCCTTCCCTTCCTTCCATCGTGCTTCTTGAACCTTATCAAGGACTCGAATTGGTCCATCAAAACCAGTAGCCCTTGGCTGAACAGATTTGGCCTGCTGCAAAAGCCTTGGAGAATCTATGTGCTTCATGACATAAACCCTTCCGTCCTCTGTAGACATGGTTTTTACTGATACTCCACGGGCTTCTCTGTACATCGAGTCCTTGACCACGTCTTGGATAGCAATGGACTGCTGGCTTGGGTGCAAAGGATTTGGTTGTCTCACAGGTGATATCCGGGTAGGGGTGGTTTCAGGGACAATGCTTTGGCAGAAGATTGACGGTTCTGTTTGAGCAGTTTTATTGCAGTCAACTGATGAGAAGGTAGATGAGCAAGAGGATGATGAAACAGAGGTTCGGGATGATTCAACAGAGACCCTCTCTTTCTCTTTCATTTCTTTCTGATTTTCTTCCTGCAACTGTGATTAAAATGTACTTTTAACACCACCTATTGTTGAAGATCAGTAATTGGTATAATTACAATATATGTTTTGAACATTACCAAAGCTTTCCGTTTCTCACTGTTGGGCTCCATTCCATGGTTGGCTCTTTGACCTGCAGAGAAGCGAAGTTGTGTTAGTATGGATACACAAATACCTTCTCCGTTGAAGGTCAAGCTCTCAATCAAAACCTCGATGGAGAAGATTACAAGGACGATGAATCCATAATTCGTACACAAGTATTAATTTTTCCCTATTAAACCATTAGAAGGGGATCATCGGAGAACTGCAGTGATTTTATTGGGATAATTACTTTCTCATTTATGTTTATCCTCCACATCCATCAAGATTCACCAAAATAAGACGATTAATTAAAGCTAGTTTACAGATTCTCTAGAGGCGTCAATTTCTAGTTTCTTAATCACCTCTCTAATTGTTTAGAGTTAGTTCTTANCATCAAGATTCACCAAAATAAGACGATTAATTAAAGCTAGTTTACAGATTCTCTAGAAGCGTCAATTTCTAGTTTCTTAATCACCTCTCTAATTGTTTAGAGTTAGTTCTTATTTTTTTTTAAGTCAGACACTATTATAGGGAAAGGCCGATGAAGTTTGAACCCATACTCTTAACGGAGAAGGGACGATAAAATTCGAACCCACACTCTTAATGGAGAAGGTTCAAACCCACAGGAAGAGGTTCGAACCCATAGTGGTTTGTGGGTTGTTACATATTTGTATTGCAACCATGACAAAGTCATAGTATTATGGACAATAATCCATTACAAACAAAAGGAGGGGGGTAATGGAGGGGGGTAATGTTAATTTATACCCTTAATGTTACGAATTGATAGTAATGTAGACATTTCTTATACCACTGTTCAATTTTTCCCCAATAAATTGATTCGCANTAAAATTCGAACCCACACTCTTAATGGAGAAGGTTCAAACCCACAGGAAGAGGTTCGTACCCATAGTGGTTTGTGGGTTGTTACATATTTGTATTGCAATTTGCAACCATGACAAAGTCATAGTTTGGACAATAATCCATTACAAACAAAAGGAGGGGGGTAATGTTAATTTATACCCTTAATGTTACGAATTGATAGTAATGTAGACATTTCTTATACTACTGTTCAATTTTTCCCCAATAAATTGATTCGCATAAGTTACAAGTACTGCGCCCATGAGCTTATGTATATACTTCCAGAACGTTGACCCCTCATGTGAGTTGCTCAAGATAGATTTAGTAACTATTGGATTCACAAAACCTTATTTTCAATCCATAAAAGATTGTAAAATTGATCAAAAATGAAGATCTGTAATGAATGAACACACCTTGTCCTCTGAGACTTGTAAGTTGTAACTCATGTGTTTTAATTTGTGACAAAAAACTAAAAGACAGCTTGGACGAAGTTCACGGTACTATCAATTCTTAAAAATAGTGTAAATTGAAAATTTTAATGTTTAAGAGTATTAATTAAAAAATTGAAATATCTTTCAAGGGTGTAAAGTGAGATTATAGCCCCAAAAAAATGCTGAGAAATAAAATTAAATCNATTAATTAAAAAATTGAAATATCTTTCAAGGGTGTAAAGTGAGATTATAGCCCCAAACAAATGCTCAGAAATAAAATTAAATAGCCATTGATTAATGTGCTTTAAGCTGGGAAATTTCAGTGACTCAATCCCATTACTGAATTGCTGCAGTGTTTCTTGGAAAAAGAAAAAAAAAGTTGTTTCTTTTCAAGAAATTTTGTTGAGTTTCTAAAATTATTGAAGAAAAACATGTCCCTCAAAATGAAGACTAGCCATGGTAAAGACAATACCTGGTGGTAGCCTCTTGTGGTGGTGGCCGGTGATGCGTCTGCCGCCAAGGAATTGGTGGCGGTCGAAGAGTTGGAAAATTCCATTCATGCACCCAATCTGCTTCTGCAGATCTGGGTTTTCTTCTGTTATGGAGTATCTAAGCTTCCCAGACATTCTCTCTCTCTCTCTCTCCCTCCCTTCACTTGTACCAAGGAAAAATTCTAAATTCTCTGAGCTCCCATTTCAGTTTGTGTCTTCAAGAATCAGAAGAAAAATAAAAAGATAATCACCGACACACCCCAAAAGAATCACTGGTTTCGGTATCTTAAAAAGATTTAAAACATACATACATGCAATGACATACTGTCCATTAATAACATCAGGGTTTTGTTCATATCAGAACAAAGCTTCCAAATTTTCTCTCTGCAGTAGAATTGAGATATAAATTCTCTGAGTTTTTTTTGGCTTTTTTGGGTCTTGGAGAACTTTCTGAGAAACAGGAGGGAAAGTAAGAATGGACTGACAGAAAGAAAAAGAGAGAGAAGATTCACAGAACTACAAATCAGTTATGTGATGAGAATTGAAATAAAATAAAAAGATTTTCAGGCTTTCACAGAATAAGGCAGACAATGTCTCCTGTGAAAACCAAAAGGAATAAAGAAGAAAGGGATTGGACCCAAAAAAGTAACAGCTTTCAACTATCTCTCCAGCTTAGTGCTTCAAAATGACTATCAACTCAGAACTGCAGGAAAAATCTGCAGACCCAAGAAGAGATGTTCTTTTGGGTTTCCTCACATAAACAAAATGGAAAAAAAAAAAGTTTCTGCTTTGTCTTTTGGCTCTCTCAAGGAAAGGCTGCTGGAGGCTAAGAGGTTGTAGAGGGGATGTGGTGTAATATATGAAGGCAATGTGTAACTTGAGTTGGGGGGGAGAGATTGGTGTCATTATTTTAAGGATGAGAGAGAGAGAGATGTGGGATGTGTGGGTCAGATCTGGTGTGAGGTGAATGGGTGGGTCAGATCTTACACTGGTCATTTTCTTCCCACTTCCATGTGGAGAAAATAATGGTGGGTGGGTCTCAAGTCTGTGGACCTCTCTCTCTACATGGGCATGTGGAGTCTGTCAGATGATGTAAGTTAAATAGCAGCTACTCTTTATACAATGGCAAAGCTCTAAAGAGTTTAAAGTCCTTGTTCTTTTTCAACCAGTCGGTTCTCCATTTGTTGAAAATACCCTCAACCATGTTCTCATTTTCCGACTTGGCATAATACAGAAAACTCACTTTAGTGTCAAATGAACATGTACTTTTAAACATACTTTCACTTAGGATGCCATGTGACATGATGGTTTCGTTTAACTTTCCAATTCTAATATTTTTATGGCTTTGCTTTGGAGGGATGGTACAATTGAAGGATNACATGATGGTTTCGTTTAACTTTCCAATTCTAATATTTTTATGGCTTTGCTTTGGAGGGATGGTACAATTGAAGGATAGATTAGGTGTCAACATCCTTATCTCACCTACGGAGTCCATTTTCGAGAGACTATGAAGTTTGTAACTCATGATAGAACAGTCACATGATTTTCTTTTCAGCAATGATATACCGATCAAAATTAAAAATCAAATAAATAACTCAAATGACATAACAATTATTGATATGACAAAATTAATTCTAATATCAACAAAATTTTTTCGTTTTCTCCAAATCAAAGACAAATGAAGCAAAATCTTTTCATCTTCTCTGTTTTTCTAACACGCACAGAAAAAGAAAATAGAAATTTTGCTAACATAGCAGTTAATTTTATTATGTAACAACTGTCATGCCATTTGAACTCTTTATTTAATCTCTAATGTTGATCTGTATAACATTACTGTTTTCTTTTTTGTTTCCCTCCCTAACCATGGGTTTCCAAGATTTCTTGAGTTTCTACGGAGTCTATTCCAATGCCCTGATTTGACGTCTTTTCTATTAATGAGCTTTTGATTTAATCATACATTTTGTTTTGTAAATATTTTATTTTTTTAAAATTAACTGTTCAAGTCTCCCTCCCATTCTCATTCCCCTTTAACTTACCCCTCCCCCCAAAAAAAAAAAGAAAAAAGAAAAAAAGGCTAATAAAAAAAATAAAAATAAGAGTACTACCCGTGTAAAATGTTTTATTATTTTTTTATAAAATATATATTTTACGTTTTTATTAATCAATGGTCACAAATAAACCAACATGAAATCTACAAGTAGCATCTATTTTTTGTATGATACTCACATTTTTTTGTGGGTACCGCATTATTAGCAAAAAGACACGCTCTTCACAGGGCTAAACAAGCACATTGGATAGATAATCACCATTTCTTGGTTTTTTCTTTCTTTTCTTAAATAATTTTCTTTTTTTGGGAGGGGGAAGGGAAAAGAGGAGGGAAATTTGAAACTTTGATCTCAATAAGGTAAAATTTTTATAAGACAAAGAGTACTATTTGATCAAAAACCCATTGGTTACCATTTTTTTATAATTGGCTAGGTTTGTATAAGTTTCATGGTACAATATACCTAAGTTTCGTGGTACAACTAACTTCACAGACTACCACAACACCCAAAAAAAAAAAATGAATGTTTCAAAAAAAAAAAGAACTATTTTTTGGGACAAATAAATCTCATCAGAATGTCATAGCCTCGTCTTGGAAAGTCATTTGTGACGTAGTTAACATAAATCCAATAATCGATAACAAAAGAATAAATAAGTAAAGATGCAAAAGAATCGCATAAAATAGCCCATATGTGAAAATCCAAATAGCCAAACCAAATTCATCATGAAACGAGCAAAAAAATAGTTTATAAAAGGCTACTTTGCACATTACAATATAACTTTAGGGCTACAATCGGGTATAAAACAATTACAAAAATATCCTTTAATATTACCAAACAAACCAAATGTGGTGTAAATTTTTCTCCAAAAAAAGGATCGAATATCCAATAATATTAGGCTTCACAATACCTAACAATATGAAGGTACAAAGGAAGGTAGTGCAATGGTCAAGAAACATATGTGATGAAGAAAAGAACTGTCTTCTAGGATGCCAATGCTTGCTTAGGTGACAGATTTTGCAATTTGAAGAGGGTGTCTAAGGATATTGCTGGGGACATTGATCACCGTTCACTGCCACAATTGGTAGAGGTGGTGGTCCTTAGAGCAGAGGTTAATGGTCATGACTCATGACCCACTCGAATGCATGCACAAATTCATAAGATGTCGTAGCAGGTGGGACTACCCACAACAACCTACACTATTGAATTGATTGTTAAAGCCCTTGGTGTGTTTTTGTTGTCCAGAAGATGGTGTAAAAAGAAAGAAATTTGGGGACTCAGCTGGCCTCTAAGTTCAGGCTCATTCATTAAGTTTCTAAATTCATTCTATAAACGAGTCAAATCGAAGTAATGTGTTGCTAGTCAATATATGCTCTTATCTTTCACTCTCCTCTTCAATTAATTAAGTTCTAGGGTTTAATTTTTTTAAAAAAATAATAGAGAAATTAAATTTGATTTTGACTCGAGCTCAGCTTGAATGCTAGCAAGTTTCTACAAAGTCAAGTTTGAACAAAAATCTCAACTAGATAGGTAAGTTCAGTTCTAACTTAAACTCAGACAGCTACAATCAAACAGAGTTTGAACATACTCAATCTTATTTCTTCGAAGACTTTTGTGCAATATTGAAAAAATAGAATGGAATTATTCAACAATTGGATTGGAAACAGCCATAGAGGGGGGACAGAAATGTTGATACGCCAATTTAGTGAATTGACGGTAGATATTGTTTGTGTTATATACATATTTAAGTCCTGTTTTATGCTGCTGTTTTTAAGGGGCTCTAGGTTGTACCTGGGCAGCTGTAGTGTTGCTGTCCAAAGGACTTCACTTTGATATTAAAATGGATGGAGAAGTAGCACTCATGGCTTATGTCTGTACTGTTCAACAGCATATGGCTTCCCACCACATTCACCATTGGCCCAACTTGCCTGCCCCTTCCCATTCACCAGTTTAATGCTTTGTGGAAGTCAGAGATTTCCTTCTTGTTTATTGTGTAATCATACTCTAATCCAAAAATAATTGAATAATGATCTTGACTATTAGGCCAGTGAGATCTATGAATGTCATCATATAAGATCTAAGTATATCATCATATTATATTGATATGTCACTTTGATAAATTGAGATAGGTATAAAAAGTTGGAGCTTGAGCGATAACAAGTATTCATCTATTTAATTGATATAAGAAGAGTAGGAATCCGAGAATCATCCATCCAAAAAGGTGGGTATAGTTCTTTATCATATATCTTTAATGGGTCATACTACAAATGAGAATCGTGGACACTAGGTATGATTTTTAGAAATATCGCTCAAGGGGATGACTAAAGCCTAGATATCATGCTTTTCAAAATGGAAATAATTTTTCCTACTACTTACCTCTGTCAAATTTTGTCATATGAGTTTCGTATGCTGGGTACGACTATGTGACATAAGAAGAGAGAATAATTCTTTGCTAACTGGGATTTTTATGGGTATGATCTTCAAAGCAGGCTATATATAGCTAATATAATATGCTTTGTGGGCAATAATTTATGCATGATTGTCCAATGTTTGCTAATTGGTATTAAACGATGTACCCCATAGCTAATATCTGCCAACTTGAACCCCAACTTACACTAATAAGATAATGGGACAATGGTCCCTAATATTGGGTTATTATGACTTTAAGAGGTAATATGATCAACAATAAGTTAGGAAGAATAATGCAAGTACTATATTGTGTTCTTCCCACCATATGGCTATTTGTTCTTGTTTTTGTTTTGGGTTATAGAAAATCGCCCCAAACACGTCATTGAACCTATCACTACAAAAAAAAATTCAAATGCGTGTAATCAACTATAAACTATGTGGATCTATTAAATCAGGATATTATTAAACCNTTGAACCTATCACTGCAAAAAAAAATTCAAATGCGTGTAATCAACTATAAACTATGTGGATCTATTGAATCAGGATATTATTAAACCAGTGAAATGTGAATTTAAGATGTACAAATTTATGTATCGTTCTTTGTTCAAATGCTAAACCGAACCTTGCGAGTTCACCCNTCATTGAACCTATCACTACAAAAAAAAATTCAAATGCGTGTAATCAACTATAAACTATGTGGATCTATTAAATCAGGATATTATTAAACCAGTGAAATGCGAATTTAAGATGTACAAATTTATGTATCGTTCTTTGTTCAAATGCTAAACCGAACCTTGCGAGTTCACCCTCTAACTAATTGTTTGTAACCAAGGTGCCCTATGTTAGCCCTTTAGGTAACATTTCATGCAAGAAGATCCCTT